ACCTCTGTGGTCTTCCTCCCCAGAATCCACAGCCCCAGTCTAACCATGAGAAAAAAAATCCCAATTGAGGGATAATCTACAAAGTACCTGCCCTGTAGTCGAAACTGTCAAGACCATTGAAACCAAAGGAAGTCTAAGAAACCCTCACAGCCAAGAGGAGCCTAGGGACAAATGACATCTAAATGCAGTGTGGCTTCCTGGATGGGATTCTAGGGCAGAAAAGGCACACCAGGTAAAAAGTCATCTGAATAAAATGTGGGCTCTAGTTCATAGCAAAGTACCAATATCAATTCGCTGATTGTAACAAATGTCCCACACTAACGCGAGGTGTGCAGTACACGGGAACTCCCTGTACTGTCTTCACAATGTTTCTGCAAATCTAAAACTATACTAAAATAAAAGATTTGTTTAAAAACAAAGAACAGTTGGGCCGGCCCTGTGGCGCACTGGATAGTGCGCCGCTTGGGAAGCGCAGCGGCGCTCCCGCCCGAGGGTTCGGATCCCACATGCAGACTGGTTCCCGCTCACTGGCTGAGCGAGGCGCGGGAGCAACACCGAGGGTTGCGATCCCGTTGCCGGTCCCCAGTCCGGTGCAGGAGCAACACTGAGGGTTGCAATCCGTTGCCGGACACGGAAAAAGACAAAAAAAAAAAAACAAAGAACAGTAATTGCAGTAGATTCAAACTTATCAAATATGTTTTTTAAAACATCCCTGAGTTCATAATGACACTCTTTAAAGAACTGGTCGTTCTTGAAGGAACCCATGCATTAATTTGAAAACTGGTAAGTGAAAAGAAAGAAGCGAGCATTTATCGTGCCCTTCTCATCTAGACTGTACCTCAGGGTAAGTTTGTTGCTGAGGTGGGGGTCTTGGCACCACCTACGGAGTACACCCCACTGTGATCAAGCCGCCACCCACCAGCTGACGGGAGTACGGAGAACCAGAGAACGTACAAAGCAGTACCACAGGCATGCCGGTGACTTAGCATCTTCAACAGATGAATTGCAAGGGGGTTGAAGAGGGATGGGGAAAACCTGTAGATTAAAAGAGATTTAAGAGACATGCTGGCCAGGTGCAACGTGTGGATCTCATTCGGCTCATGATTTGCGTAAACCAGCTGTAAACTCGGGACGAGTTATGAGACCGTCAGGAAAATCTGAGCCATGATGGGGAATTTGATGATACGAAGAATTAAGAGTTACTTTCTAGGTGTGATAATGGTATTATGTTAAAAATAATAATAATAATAATAATAAATAAAAATAAATAAAATTTTTTAAAAAGATAATGGTATTATGTTTGTTTTAGTAAGAGTTTTTGTCTTTTAATAAAAAGCACGTGAAACTATTTTCAGGTCATACAATGGGATCCCTGGAACTTGCTTCTTGGTAATCCACTGGGGGCGGGGGGTGTCCAGGAACGAAGAATGTTTGAATTAATCACTGTTGGCGCTGGGTCAGGAAAATGCAGGCATTCAGTGTACCAGTCCCTCTGCTTTTGTGTATGCATTGGACATTTTTCCATAATTAGAAATTGTAGAAATGAGCTTCTTTTGAATGAAAAGACTTTATTTTTGAGCAGTTTGAGTTTACAGAAAAATTCGAGTGAAAAGTACTGAAAGTTCCTGTATACTGTCTTCTCCCCCAACCCCCATGTCCCCTCTTTTTACTTTTTTTTTTCTTTTCTTTTTTTTTTTTGCTCCGTTGCTGGCCTGGTTGTGGTAGGGGAGGGGCGGGGCTGAGGCCCTCGGTCCCTGTGTCAGGACCCTGGGGGCTTCTGGCTCTGTCACTGGCTCTGTCACAGCCAAAGACCACAGCCCACCAC